TGGATTGATGAGCAGTAAGATGCTGCTGGATTGATAAGCAGTAAGACACTGCTGGATTGATAAGCAGTAAGACACTGCTGGATTGATAAGCAGTAAGACACAGCTGGATTGATAAGCAGTAAGACACAGCTGGATTGATAAGCAGTAAGACACAGCTGGATTGATAAGCAGTAAGCCATCAGAAAGACTAACTAATAGGCACGGCCCAACTGTGTAAACAGAGCATTGAGTCTGTGCTGTGTAAGCACAGCTCTAAATCCTCTGTGTGCACAGGACGGGGGTGGAGGAGAATATTTTCCTTTCTTGGATAAAAACATTGTTTAAAAAAAACCGCTGGGGGCTGTTTGACAATAATGCAACATAAAATTCCACCTCTATTAGGAGCGCTTCCAGTAAACAGGGGAGTTCTTCTCAGTACCTGAACGTGTTGATCTGAAGTTACGCAAACCTGGCACGAACACTTCCAGCTCCGCTCCTGAAGCAAAACCTTTGGTTTCTTCAGGACAAACCCGAGAACAAGAGCTCCTCGTTTCACCTCTTCACATGCGCGAATAAAAGCACGTCAACTGTGTGACGATGTCCAAAAGCTTCTCCGTGCACGTTACGATTAAATTAAAAGTCCCTGAGAACAGCTCAAGGCCTGAGGCGTGCGCGTCAACACCATCGTTGAACTGATTCTTCCTTAAAATCAAAGAACTTTTCTAAACATTCTTTAAGAAAGAGCTCAAGATAAATGGTGGCGCTTGTCCTCTCACTCCTAACATGATACTCCCCATACGCCTCTGTCAGTCAGCTAAATGAGGTGGAAAAGCCAAGCAAAAAAAAAAAAACAAGGGGGAAGCAAAAAGAAGAATAAAGCAGGGGATTAGGAGGGGAACAGAGAGAGAGGTGTTTGTTGCAAGGGGCAGCTAGTTGAGTTCTGAATAACCACAGAGCTTAAAACAACAACTCAGTCTACAAAACCAGAGATGTTCAAACTAAGGTTTGTTCAGATGATATCCTCCAGCGTCACGCAGAGGACCGGCCCAGCCCTCGAGCTACACTTTAGTGCACACAGCTCTGTGCTGCTGTTTGCTGAGAGCAGGAGCTGAAAGTGGCGCGCAGTTAAAGCCCACAGCGTTCAGGGCGGAGGACAGCCGGATGACTGATGGGATTCAGTGGCTCTCACAGGGCGCGGCGCTCAGGTGTTAACATGTAATTATGGGCCTTTCATTGGTCACAATGTGAATTACACAGTCGAGGAACACACGGAGAACAATGGCGGCGCTGCTTCATCACGACCGCTGGAAAGAAACCTCAACATGAATGTGCCGTTCAGATGGCATGGACGGGTCACTGGGAGTAATGGATGATCCCCGACAAGGTGCTGCAGCTCACCTGCACACAAAGACCGGAGCAACAACCGTGTGGCTCATGAACGTTTGTCCACATCATAATCTGACGACATGGTGAAGCTCTAACGTTACTTTGTGGATCTTGAAGCAGTTTGAGGAGAAGAAAAAAGAAAACGAGACACTTCCTTGTGAGCGCAGGCTGAGGCAGGCCCACAGCTGCAGCGTTCCTTCCTCGCTGACAGGCGCTGCGGGCGCATGCAGAAATCAAGTCCTGACAAACATCAGGCCTTAAACAAGCGCTCTGTGGCGCCTCTGGTCCTGTCTTTTTCATACCTGACATGTCTTGTCACGCCTGTAGCGTCTCCCAAACCTGTTTAATTCAACAAAAATCCAAAAGGCTTTTTTTTTTTACCACAAGGAAAAATCCTGCTTGTGAGAACATTAAACCAATGAAACATTTGGAGGACGATCACTGCATTTGATCCCTCGTTTAAAAAACGTTTGGTTGTTTTGGTCAGCCTTTATCTCGACCGCCCAGTCTTAGTGAGGACACGTCCTGAGGCTCACCTGGACACTGTCCTGCGGCCCCACGTAGTCTGAGCAGAAAAACTCCAATACACACCACACTGAGGGACTCATCAAATGCCTTCATACCCCCCCCCCCCCCCACACACACACAATGATAAGCTTCTAACAGACAAATACTAACTGCAAACGTACGAGTCTGGTTTTAAATCAGTTTTTATAAAGAATCAAACGTGTTCACCACCAGGGCTGTTACAGCAAACAAACAGGAATCTTGTAATCAGAACTGTGACAGGACGTGCTTTTCCATGACGATCACAGACACATCCCAAGGACGCCATAAAAACCTGCCTTTAAAATTTTCCCCTCTACCTGTTCCCATTTGTAGCTCAGGGCTCGTTTCCCTGACGGGCGAGTCGTGACAAGCTCCTTGACACAAACAAGTCTTGGCCCCATCTCGTGAGGCGTGGGACGGGCCCGCAGATGTTCCAGGGGCAAGCTGCATCTTGCCGCCTTTCGCTGGAACACTCTTCTCTTTGAGCATTCACAGGCTCTCCTCCTCCTCCTCCTCCGGCGCAATGTGAGATGCAGCCATCAAGCTTAACTCCCTCAAAAAGACAGAGGCCTTTCCAAGAGCGCAGGGTTCAGAAAAGAGGCGCACAGTATTTACACAAGTATTATCTGCAGGCCCTCAATCCATTACTGTAATCCCCCTGAGCTCTGCAGCGCCCCAGTGATAGTCCAGACCACGACATTCCTCTCCTTTGACTGTGTGGTAGCTACGACAAACACAGCTTCAGCCTCACAATAGTTGCATCAAAAGCCAACAATGGCCGCCTCGTTTGCAACACACCATTAATTTAGTACACACGGTGAAACATCCCGAGCTTGTGTATTCACTTTGACCCCGTGTTGTTCTCCGGCTGACGGACGAAGGTGGGAACACCGTGAAGCCTGCGGCAGCTAAGAAGAACACCCGTGTGAGAGATGTTCTGGGAAAAGGGTTGACGTGTTGCGCTCATCTCTCACTGAGTGTGTGTCACAGTCATCCTAGACAGGAAGAGGTTAAGGTGTGGGTTAGGGATTAGGTGTGTCTCCAGAAGAACAGTCATCTAAAAGTACAGTACACAGTCCGCTAAGCACTGTGGAAGATCCCAGAGGCCTTCAAAAAAGGTGCATTAGCAGATCTATAGGCAGAGCAAAGCTGCGCTGGTTCCATCGCCAGTGGCTGCCTGCCATTCGTCCACCAGTCCACTGCTCCAGCTGTGGGGCTCAGATTACGGGAGCTTTACCAAAGACCACCTGAGATCAGGTGAGGAGCCTCTTCAGAGATGAGAAGCGACACTATAATCACTGCTCGTTTGAACGAGGCAGCGTGCTGCAGCGAGGCGCTCAAAGGTCCGACTCTGAGCCCAGTGTGGAAAAATGAGCGTGACGCACATGACATTTAACGAGGGGGGGGGGGGGGGACGAATGAATAAACTGCTGCTGAAATAATTAACAGCTTTAAAAGCACACTGAACTAACTTCATAAAAAATAACTTGTTTTTTTATACAAATTTCAGAATCAACCTCAATTAAACTGCTTAGAAGTTGCATTTTTAAATCTTTTAAAATATTTTATCTGCAGAATAAAGAGTTCAGCTAAAAATTTTAATTTAACCAGTTTTATTCAATAAACAATAGAAATTTGAAGCTTTAAAAAAACAACTTTAAGCCCTAATTTAGCGTAACGTTATTAGATTGTAATCCACAGCTCCCCCCGTTGAATCGGACCGACCCGACCAGTCTTACATCATGTGTTGTGACTGTTTCCCTGCATGTGGCGATGATGGGATGTGCAGTAAAGCAGGCTCTGGGGCGTGTCGCTCACAAACCACCCGCTGAGCCACCTCACGGTTGCACTTTAGACAAACACTTTTGTTTTTGGGCTGTGAAAATGAGAGGGATGAGCGAGGCGGTGTGGGAAATGGGTGAATGTCACAATCCCACAGTTAATGAATACGATGAGCACTCCCTGACTTTATGTGGAGCACGGTGCGTTCAATTCAGTGTGACTGCTCGGTGTGCGTCTGGGGGGTAATGACCCAAGACGTCTCATTCATGCTCACATTTGTAAATCAGTTATGGCCATGCAGGTTCATTATGTAATTAACAGTGTTTAGCTGGAAGCTCGTGATGCAATCCCCCCCCCCCCCGCTCTCCTCCCATCTTTAATGCTCCTAAAGCTCAGCTGGGTCGTCCACAGGAGACCAAGTAGTTGGCTGCTGCAGTGCGTGTACACAGGAGTGCACGTTACACACATAAACAAGCAAACATGATGCAACAGCTGTCTGTCTGTCTGCCTGCCTGTCTGCCTGCCTGCCTGTCTGTCTGTCTGTCTGCCTGCCTGCCTGCCTGCCTGCCAGCCTGTCTGTCTGTCTGCGCACCGGACACCACCACACCTGGAGCACCAATTCAACCAGTTTACTCCGTCAACACCACTACACTTTGCTCCAGTTGTGACTGAAGCCGCTTCAAACAATAAAAACATCACAACTGAATGATAAGCATCTGTGCAAAAGTCTTGAGCCAGCTTTTGTTTTACTTCCAGGGAGCCAGATTTTCCAGTACAACGTTAAAGGTCAGAGTCCTCCAGGCCGCCTTCAAGACTTTCAAGTTTATTGTTGTGATTTTTTCTTCAGCAGCCAAACACAGACTCCTCCAAGCATGTAAAAAACACCTGAATTTAAATAACAATAAACAACAAGAACACAGTTAAACATACAAAAAAAGTGTTTTGAACAATCGAGGTGACGCAATAAAAAGTTATTAGGTGAAAATCTGACATATTAAAGGATGACGTCCCTCAGGTCCAGTTTTAGAAGAACATCTGTCTTTTTTATTAGATAAAGAAAATAGACCATCCAAAATTATCTTCATTATTATTCTTTAAATGTTAGATGCATTTCAGCTGTGATTCAAAAATCAGAGTTAATAAAACTGAAAGTAAATTTAAAACACAGCTAATTCGGGGGGGGGGGGGGGATTTGACTTAAATAAGAGTCTTTAGCCAAACAGCAAATTGGGCTTTAATTTGGTAACTTTAACTTCTTAAATCTTCTTGGTGATCTGTGGTGATGCTGCTCGCAGTGACTTATGCACCCCTCCCCCCCCCAAACACACACACACACACACACACCCCGGCCCCCCCAGCCCCCCTTTGTCAGCGCGATGAGCAGAAGTGCCCGGGGTTTAGGGATGATTTGAAGCCATACATCTCAGGTGACACTCCTCCATGCCAGATTGTGCAACGCAGGATTTTAACGTGCACCTGAACCTGCCTAGAGCATCGACAGATGAGTTCAAACGTAAAGAGGTCCTTTTAACCTCTGACTAATAACCGCCTCCTTTTATCACAGGAGCCAATTAGCATATAAAACACTTGTTACCCTCAAATTGGAAATATATTTAACTTTGATCAGCACAACATGTTAAACGTGGATCAAGACTTTTAGCACAAAATCATAATCAAATGTAGTTTAGATAATTTAACCACAGCTTACCTGTTTTTATTTTACACAATAAAAGAACATTTTTTAAAATGTAGTACAGAAATGACAATAACGGTAAAAAGCTGATCAGTTTTGGTTCTTTGGTTTACTCTCACTGATCTTACCGTCCAGGTGGCAGACTTCGCTGTGCTGGACTGCTGGAAGGACACGTCGAAGGTGTGGGGTCCAGCGTAATCTGTATTGGATGGGATGGCCGGCGATGGGGAGAGGGCATCGAAGGTGGAGCTGGGCTGGGCGTAGGGCGACGGAGCGGTCACGTTGTTCTGAGCATGCTCGTTGTTGTAGGGGCTGGTGGAGGTCGAGCCGGTGTTCTGCTCGATGCTGTTCAGCAGCCCCAGGTTGGTATACTGAGACTGAGGAGACACGAGAGATCACAGATTATAGTTCCTTTGATGTATTCCAATGAAAAACAGATTATTACTCGTCAACACACAATCAGGAAGCGTTATGTTTATTGATGTCACTGTTAAATCACAGAAATTAAAAAGCAACAGGTTTTAAAAATAGATATTGTGTGAGTTCTGAATCACGTTTTAAGTTAAGTTAAAAAACTACAAAAAGACACTATTTTGCAGCATTCTCTTAACTCTCGCCACAACTTCTCAGACAAGGGGACTGGAGTTCAACCAAGGCCTTTAACCAGGACGGAGACCCGTCTGGGTCAGAGCTGGGCCCTTCCTGCTCGCTCTGCTGGCCAGTCGCTCCATTCCTTTCCATTTATAAACGGCACATTCCTGACGAGGTGCCGTGTCCCTCGCTCTATGAACCGCCATTAATCTCTGCAGGGCCTCTTGCTTATTTCAAGCACGGCTGACCACAGCTGTCCAGCTCACACCCAGCGCACCACCAGGTGTTGCACCAGGTGACCCACTACTACAACATGTAGTCCAGGCGGTGACTTATAAACGAATAATGTGGCAATATTAGTCATTGATCCACACGAGCAGACCCAGACGGATTCATTTAGTCAGACAGACACACCTGAGTCAACCTCCACATACTTAACCAACAACGCCACAGGGTAGCTCTGTTTGGATGAGGGTCAGTGTGTGTAGCTTTCAAACCACCTCCCCCACAAGATAACAAAAGCTTTTCTTGAAGACACTGACGCTAGGCATGCAGGTGTTACAAGACAAGTGTTTTGTGAATGAAACACAGTCCAGAGGAAAAAAAAAACACCAATCTGTTGGAGATCCTTCAGTTTTTGTTGAGGGGAGGCTTCCCCGAACAAGAGACAAACTGCACCCATGTAAGACCCTGCTCACATGATCTCAGAGAGGAAAACAAACCGCTCAGAAGGGCGACCCTGAAGCAGGGCTCTTCAACTAAACTGCTCAGGGGCCGGTCATCCAGCAGTTATTCTCATTAAGTAAAGTTGTTTTACCATTTAAAGTAAAGTTTTACTTAAAATGAACCCACTGGTGGGTCTGATTTGGCCCCCGGGCCACCAGTTGAATGGCCCTGGCCTTAAAGGTTAAATATTAGTCACCGTGTTCGTTCCAGGCAGGAAAATTGTGGAAAATAAAAGCAGAAACTTCCAGAGTGTCTTAACGTTCTTCTTGGGAAGAGTGTTCCCGTATGCGAGAGTGATGATGATGATGGTATCAGAGGGCTTCCTTTGAACTATGGTGCAACTCTACTGAGGCGCTCAGGCAGCGAGATGACACCCCCACCTGATGCAGGCGGCTGCCATGGTGGATGTGACAGGCACCAATTATCAATGCCAAATTATTATTGTAAAGAAGAGGATGATGCTGGCAGAGAGCAGACATAGATAAAAGACAAAAACTGGCATTTCTCCCAAATAACGCTCGTCTGAGTATACAGATCAAAGACGAGCATCTGAAGAGACAGCTATAACTGACCATTAAGTAGAGGCCAGTTCGTCATGTTTTAATGTTTAATTGACTGGAAGTGGGAGATCAGCTTTTCCAAATGGGTTGGAAAGGACTTCCTTCGATCAGATCTTATTCCACTATAATACAGTAACTCTTTAATAACCACTTCAGCAGCTCTTAAAAATTCTTTCCGTTTATAGCTGGGGCTGTTTTGGCCTTTGGGATGTTGCACTGCTAAAGAGCAGAGCAGTAAATCAGCAGCCCTGACGTCCTGAGAAGCCTTTAATAAAGCTGTTGGAATGGTTGAGCTGCCTGTTTGAGGCCCGATAGCTTTTTTCTTTCTGTGATTATTGTTGATCAAGCCCTTTCAAACCACCATGAGGGACATTCTGTTGACCTTTCCCCTGATCAGCCTTTCACACCAACATTGAAATGTGAGTTTATCCACGACACAGATCAGAAATGTTTGAAGGCAGCACTGGTTTAGAAACTGACAGAGCCAACATATTGTCATTATTCCATGCTTTGACACATTTAGTAATAAGGTAATGGCCAAATGAAAGAGTTGAACACATATGACTGAAGAGAAATAACTGGGCCCTGTGACGGACTGCTGACCTGTCCAGGGTAGACCTTGCCTCTCAACCAATGTCTGCTGGCGATGGGCACCAGCTCCTCCCAACCCTGGACAGGAACAAGCAGGTAAAGAAAATGGTTGGACGGATGAATGAACAAATGACCTTTTATATAAAACTGCACAATTCTGAGACATTATAAAGACTGACGTTCTCCGAGTATCACCAGCATCAACAGAACAGGATTCATTTAATTTGAGAGAACAAACATCTACCGGTCTCTCTGCAGCTCCACTTCAAACGTTTCGCTTCACACAAACACTACAGTGACAAAAAAATCTGTAAACTAAATCTGAACATATTCTTCTCCTCTTGCTAGTGTGATAAAATGAATAGTTAGGACCTGCAGCAGACCTGGCCTGGGGGGTGTGGGGGGGCTCCCATTCCTGACTCTGATGCTCCTTAGGCCAACATATAAGTGCATCTAGGGGACTGTGATGAGCGACCACAGGGCTGTGAGGCATTAAAGGCTCAACAGGGTTGTGGGAGGGGTGACATGAGGCTGGGTCTGCACCTCGTACCTGCTGGGGTGGGCAGAGCAGGTGATTGTATCTACATCAACATACCATTAAAGCAATTAGGACCATGAACCAAACAGCAACGCCTGGGCAGCCCCATTCTTACGGCTGCAGCGGCTCCCTGGAGACTGGGGATGGGGGACACCTGATACACTGAAGGTATTGAGCTGGACACCACTTAAAGACCCCCCACCCCCCAACCCTGCCACCTCACAACTTAAAAGACAGAGATCTGACACACCTGTTATCTGCAACCTGCAATCTGAAAATCTATCAATCGCTTGACATGATGAAAGAAAAATAAATCTGAAACGAGACGATCGGGAGCCTAAAAAAGGCCGAAAGCTAAAAATTACATTTGTTTTAGATTAGGACATTTAGTTATTGTTTCTTAATCCTTTTTTTTAAGTGATTGAAAAACCATAACTTACTCAGAAAAACCCAATAAAACTTAAAAAGTCCCCCCCCCCACACACACACACTTTTAAGTAAAAATGTAAAAAAAAAATTTTTAAAAACATACCGGTAATTTTTTTTATGTCAAAATTTCACTAACATTAAACTGAATAAAAGTTTAAAACTAAATATTTTTTTACAGTTGTCTGATCCATAATGTTTAATGTAATATCTTTTGGAAAAAACATTCACGATAAAAACCGCAACAACCGCTTGGCGGCATTTTTCTTTCGAAAACATCTTCATGTTTTCCCACATACAGAGGAAAACCTTTCAATATAGATAATCTAATTTATCTTTCAATATAGATAATCTAA